GGGGGGGGGGGGGGGGGGGGGGGGGGGGGGGGGGGGGGGGGGGGGGAGAGAGAGAGAAGGAGAGACAGAGAATGAGCGAGAGAGAGCAGAGTCAGTCGCTACGCGCTCGACGCCGCAGCAGGTGTTGGCTGCCGACACGCCCCCTGTATGTTACAGTTCACTTATACCTGGGACCTGGGACCTGAGACCATCCCCAGCTACAACTGGAATTTGTGACCTAACATTGATCCGACAAACATGTGCCGAATAGGCTTCCCGAGATGCTTTTTTTTTTGCCACCTCCGTTTTGTGAGATGACGACGTGGCTCTTGTGTCCCTGGAGACGAAAAGCTGATCCGTTATGTTCCGCCTGATCCCGCCCACCCACACCCGGAAAGGATGCGTCTTGCTCATTTTTTCTGCGGCGGGAGGAGCGCCTGAGGCCAAACTCGCTCGTGTTTTGGACATGATCACTCCGTGATTTGCAGCATCGTTTTTTTTTTTTTTTGGAGGGGGTGTTCCGTCCGTTGTAATTCTACTCACGTACGTCCAAAAACGCCCTCTCATTGGTGAACACGACACAAAATATCAATGACAGATCGAAGTCGTGGAGTCCGAGATACCAAGCTACGACGCGGAAGAGCTGTCAAACATGGGGCTGCGGCAGCTCCGGTCCCTCATGCTGCAGGCCGGCATCGGTACCGAAGGCTGCCTGGAGAAGGCCGACCTGCTGGACCGCATCGTTTCCTCCCGCCTCGTAACCGTCACGCACGGCGAGGCAGTTCCGCCGCCGGCCCCGCCGGCCCCGCCGTCCTTCGCCAACCGGGGGGGTAGTGGTGGGGGCTCCGCAGCGCGACAAGCACCTGAACGAGGGGCGACGGCGGGCGCCGGGGCGGCGGCAGCAGCACCGGCAAGAGGACCGGGAGGAGTAGGAGAGAGGAGATGGGCAGAACCAAACTCTAACTCTTTTTCCCGGGCCGGGATAAGACCATGGTGGTGGCGGGCCGGGCGGAGGGGCGGGGGCGGAGGCGGCAGTGCGGAAAGGGCGGCGACCCAGGCGGGGGCGGGGGCGGGGGCGACTGGGCCGCCGCCACCACCGTCCCCACAACCGGGAGCAGCCGCAGCGGCAGCAGGGGCGGGGGCGGCGGCTGCGAGGCCCCTAGAGAGCATGTCGGTGAAGGAATTGAGGGAGATCACGAGCAGGCTAGGCGTCAGCACGGCGGGGTGCCTGGAGAAGCGAGATATGGTCGAGCGGATCAGAAGTTGCGGGAGGTATCGGGAGGCGGCAGGGGTTGGAAGACCATGACGGTGGCAGACAAGCAGGGAACGATTGACGGCACACGTGTGTCTTGCACGTTTTTTGAAGGAGGTCACGTGTCCCGGAAGCCATGTGCCCGATGTTCGTTCTTGCATGTAGAAGAAGGCCCCTGTTGTGTGGGTGGCCTGGCGTACGTACATAGGTGGCGCCGTGCGTGGAAGTGCCAAAAGACTGAAGTGGTTCTTGAAGCATGGCGCGCGTGCGGGGTGCGATTGCTGCGGCTTGGTTTTGGCGATCGTGCTGGCACGCACGACGTTGTGCAACACTGGGGGGTCGACCCCCGGCGAGGCCCGACCTCCACTTGCCGTTGGGCCCCGCGTGGTCGTGGACACGTGCTATATCGTACCGGAGGGTGTGTATTAGAGTGCGTTACGGTGTTCGCCTAGCCTCGAATACTTCGTGCGGTCGTCTTGAGGAGGGTACATGTTGGGTGAGAGCAAGGGATGCCGTTCCACGTTTTTTGCTCCCTTGGGGGATGATGCTTCTTGTGGGGACAATATTGATCGAGAGAAGAGCGCGGGTGCGACTGCTGTGTGCATCAGGAAAGCACGAGCGTGGGTGCCACGACTCTCTCTCGCGCGTGTGGGGAGTAGTTTCTGACGAAGAGAGCGTACCGGAAACAGAGCAGGGGGAAGTGGTGTGGGGACCACACTAGGTGCTGCTGTGCGGTTACTTGCCGCGCGCGGCAGATGTCGGTCGGTCGTGTCTGAAAAGAATTTCATGGTCCTCGACTATGCTTGTAGCTGACAGAATAGACTACAGGTGGTGGTGGTGCGGGATTGAGTCGAGAAGACCAGGTTCTACTTTTGCTTTGTGAACCAAACAGATGCGAGTCTGTGCCGTCGCCGTTATCCCTTTCGTCGTTTTCTCTTGGTCAGCATAATGAAAATGTCTTTCTTTAGGCCTTTTTGCTTTGGTTAATATGAGGAGACCATGCATTATTATGGACGTCGCGTCGTCATCCCGTTGTTCTTGGGAGTACAAGACTGAAAAGGGGGCGGTTGTTCAGCACACCGTGGCACACCCACCGGCCTCCGTGTGCGCCCACACCTACACAAACAACTCTAAAACATCATCAGAAACAATACTTCCCGCAGAGTACACAGCGTTTTGCGCATGCATGCGCGCCGCACGCACAAGGAAGTCGCCGCTGCTGATTGCGGGAGAAACCTAGAGCGAAAGAATATTGGCCGCGCGGACCCGTAGTCATGAGGTGACCAGGGTAGCGGTTACTTCTTGGGAGCCGAGAGCATTTGCTCCAGGGTTGTCTTGAGCTGCTCGTTCGTGCGCTTGAGCTGATCCACCTCCGCGCTGTGCTTCTTCTCGTCGGCCGCGCGTCTGGGCGTGCCGTTCACCGTGTCGGGCACGAACACAGAACGGCAGTATCATCGCGGAGCGAGGGGGGGTGCAAGGTTGACAGTCCGAAAGCAGAGTGATTGAGGGGGGGGGGCGCTGGAGTGCGACCGGGAGAGATGCAGTCCCCGCGTATATTATGCGCGTTGACCTGGCCGCAGGGTTCCGTGAGAGCATCGCCTAGATCTTCTCTGCGTAATGGTTCCAACTCAGAAGTAAGCTCGTTCGTGAGAGTTCCTTGGCGTTTCTGCACAACACGGGAGACGACCCGAATCGACTCGGAACATATAGCTTGCGCTGACCGACGTTCGGACGGACCCATCACACCATACGTTCGCTGTGGTAGATGAAGGAGAGATCAAACGGCATTTTTTGTGGGTGGAGTTCATCCACCATACTTCACTCGTCGGGAGGTTGTTGAAGATGCGAAAACACTCTCCCTCAAGGTCGTACTGTGACGGGATAAAAGACAACATCGATCCCCGATTTACTCGGTCGGTTGGCCGGGGTGCCAGAATCGTGTTTTATGAAGGAAACGCGTGTTCAAGAACCAACCAGAGAGTGCTCCAATATCCGAATACAGAGTGAGTGATACTCGAAGCCACAACGTCAACATTTTTTCGTTTCTGACGGCGCCAGCTACTGTACCTCTATCGCACTACTACTAAAGCGACTTCGTATGTCTTCTTCGTACCTTTCCGCCTCCCGTGGTTTGACCTGCTCGCACTTGGCGCTGAGCTCTGTCACCTGGCGCTCTAGGTCGGCTTTGTCTTCCTGCAACTGCCGGATCTGTAACCACAGCGAAGTAAACAAGTAGATCGAACGCCCGTCAGGTTAACTCTTTCAAGGGACACACAGATACCATCAAACGGCTTTGAAACCAACTGCAGCACGCACCACGGTCGGAATGGAAACAATCGGTCCGGAATGGAAACAATTGGTCATGCGTCTGATGCATTTCCTCACAGCGGCCGAATCTTGTGCCCCCTCTCTTCGGTTCACATTATTTTCAACAAGCGTCCTGCATATTCCTGGCGTATGTGTTCCATAACACATGATCTTGCTCGAAGGTTTGGGAACCTACAAGAACACGATGCATACAAGTTCACTCAGTCACATAGAAACCTCTCAACAAACATCTTAATAACTTGCGCAATACTCTCAAAGGAACTCGTTGTATTCCATCCGTGGTTCCGATCGTCAGACCTTACGTACTACAGCGAGTGGTTAGCACGACCGATCGAAAGGAGCCAAACAGAAAGGGAAGAAACGAACAAAAATGCCTTCGGCTATGGATGCAGCAACTCGTTCATACAGTACCTTTGCCTCCATTTCTGCTTTGCGCTGCTCAGCGATGAGCGCCTTCCGGATGCCGAAGGCAATGCTAGACTCGTACATCGTCTGGTACGCGGCTATGGTCATGTGGATCTCGTCCCGCACACGGAGTAGTAGCAACCCTCGTTCTGCACAGTTTATTGTCACCTGTCTAATCAGCTCGTCTTACCGTTCGGGCGCACAGGCAGCGGAGTCGGGGGGGGGACCGGGAGGCGAACATGCGGTAACGCAAGCGGCGAGAATATCCTTCGCAACTTGTTGTAGGGCACCGAGTGCCCTAGGTGTGGTTTTGATGGCAAGGCATTGACTGCGCGTGAGATTGGTGCCGACTGATTATCGTAAGCTTTAGTGGCTTGCCAAGAGGTAGCCGTCTCTCAATCTCTACCCGTTTGACAAATTTACACTTCCTTGCCCAAAGAAACAACAACTTGGTGGATCTTCCGTCAGCAACGCGGTCTCTTGGTCGTTTTCGTCGGGGTTGTAATGATCACACGCTGTGCGCTTGTCGTGTGAGTCATTCCTTGTGCAGAACTAAACCATCTTCTCAAATTGCTGGACAACGTTCGACACTTGTGTCTCCACCTAAGCCGTTTTGTGCCCTCGGAAACAACGCGTCGAATTTGTGTTCTGAGTTGCAATTGGTACGAACAATCTCCGCCACCCTTAACTGGAATCAAGAACGATGCATTGCTTGGTCCTCCATGCATAAACATGGGCCCTCCTTGTTTAGCTGTTACGTGGTCACCATTGACCATTTGTAAACGAAGCAATTAGAACCTTGCGACCGTGTGCATGTCGAAGGAAAATCGCACCACCACCTGTTCATACGTGGTTGTTGAGACGCATACCCTCGGCGCCCCAACCAACGCTCACTCACCAAAGCACTGCGAATACAACTCCTCTCTAACGGGGCAGATCCCCGTTTCCCTCGCTTGTCTCTGCTGCAGCTTCTGGTCGAGTTGTTCCTGAAGGTTAGTGACGTCCAATCGGGTCGCCGGCGTGCTCGACACATACTGCACCCAGAGCTGCCCGTCGTCAGTCCATTCCCTGTCATCGTCGCGACAACAAGAGAAACAGGAGAAGAAGGACGGATGGCGTGTGCCACATATTGCAGGCTCTCACTTTGTACGCGTACTTCTTCTGCTGTGACCTCGACTTGGCCTTCATCGGGCTCAAGCTACACGTGACATGGCTGCAGTTCTCAACAAGCACGCCACGAGGCCTCCGTCTACAAGTATCCTCGAAACTCTGGGACGGTCAACCCCGCGGGTTCAAATCCCGGCGTGGTGCGATTTAGATGGTTCTTCTTCGCGGGAATTCAAAGAGGTCTTGAGGACTGATGAACCCTTCTCGCCACATTCAATTGCTGGTTGTTACAATGCACCGAAGTTTTCTGCACGACTTCCGCACTGTGTGTCCTTACACGTCAAAACAAAAATATTGTGATTGACAGGATTCCTTCAAGAACAAGATGCAGATAAGATTATGTTTTAGAAAACAAGATACCAAGTACATAATGAGACGAACACTAGGTCTGCCATGTTGAATCTGCTGTATACAGGGGGCTGCCACTAAGTGCTGTGGGTACTCCGAGGGATAGTAGAAACACAGGGAGGAGGGATCACCCCGTCATTCCGTCCACCGAGAATCTGTTCTTTCGCCATCCCATTTCAAACGGTCGCTCGTTGTTCCCAACTTCCCTAAGGCCTTGCCTTCCTGAACACGGAAGATGGAAATGTTATCGATCGATACGGTCTTAATCCGTTGTGCAACAAGCTTATGCATAAGCTAGGGGTACAGCAGTAGTCTACAGTAGACTCCTCTTCTTCTCCCCTTACAAACAAGCGCATGTATGTAGTCTACATTGTGGCGACACAACAATATCACCCCCCTTCGGCCAATTTTTTTAATCTTGATTTCGCCACAGCACAAAAGATCTGAAGCGCCGCGAACGGCGGCGTTCAAGCCGTCTCGTCGAGAGCATTCCGAAAACGTAAAGGATCATTTCTTCGTCCTCGAGTACTCGAGCTTTGAAAAAAGGCCCAGGGGGTGTAGTATCTTGTGTCACCTACGGTATGTACAACTACGTGAATACAAATGGGGGGCCGGGGTGTTTTTAATCGGACTCCTTGAACATGAGCAGATGAGCAGCGGCAGTGGAAGGTAGCTCACCTTGTGCTCTGAAACAAATACCCGACGACAAGCATTCTGCGAATTACGCAGTACTCGACACTGCTGTGACCCAAGCCACACCGCGAGCACGGGTACGACCGGGTGTGAAAAAAGGTTGAGCGCGCGAGGGACGCACCTCGGCGGCAAGATAGAGTTGAGGATATCCTCTGTTTGCGAGGATGGTCGATCGACAGTTGGCGCCTGCCCTTTCTTCTTTGCTCCCTTCCCGCCTCGGTTGCCGGTCGTGCTCACGAGTATCGGATTGTCATACTTCACGAGGGAGTTGTGCGGGGGGATCATGCTCGCTGTTCCGCCGCTGCGTAGTTTTGTTCGTTACGAGCCGATCTGAGACAGCAGTATGAACCGCTGATATCACACAGTAGCACTGGTGGGTAAGGCTGTCGGTGGTTGCACCCCAAAAACGCAAACGAGCAAGCGAGAGAGAGGGAGAGAGGAGCGGAGCTTGCTACTGCTGTTTGAACGAAACCGTCGATCTCCGGAGATATATTGCTGTAGATGTGTATCTGAGATGACTGTAGGAGACCTTTCGCGGTTTTTCGGAGAATTCAGATACAACACGAGGTACATATAATATAATACGTAGATCTGTGGATAACAGCAGCAATAGTTCCCAAATCATTGCTGAGGACGGTAACCTTGCCTTGTAGCGACCGAATGCAGCACCTATTCCCATCCCATGGACACGGCAGCGGAACACGGCAGCGGGAGGATCACTGTGTGCTGTAGGATTCGTCCGCTCGGCACGCCAACGGAGAGAGTTCCGATCGATACCAACGATCAATGTTTATGGCTACATTCAGCTGAGCCTTCTTCGGTGCTAGCGGGCCAAACCGGCAGTAGCAGTAGCAATACAACCAGGTGGAGGGCGAGGAGAGAAGAGGGTGGCGCGAGGAATGATCGGTGGGGTTTCACTTTCGACGATGTGCTAGAGGCCGGATGCTCCCAGGAGGAGGTGTACCGAAAATGCGCGAAAGACATCCTGGAGTCGGCGCTCAACGGCGTCAACGGTACAATCATGGCGTGTGAGTTAAGCCTTCAGTGGTTATTTTATACTTCAAAACGCAAGGGAATCAGTGTACAAGAGCACTGATTGGAGTAGGAGTACTTGGTAGGTGTACTCAGCAGACTCAGCGCTAGCTACGGATCTACGGAGATCTAGTTTCTCATTTTGCTTCAGTAGTCTATGTGTTTGTTGACGCGCGATCCCCTAGCCTCGCATCGGCGAGCATGTCCTGTGCACTCGTTCATCTCGCTAATCTCAGCGTCTTAAGACAACCTTGACTCGTCAACCTCTGACGCAAACCGCTACCTAATTTATATATAGTCGACACGAGGACGGGGGTTGTTCACTCGTCGTGTCTCTGAGAATGTGACACCGAACAAATCCTGACACCTTCACCTAGTCGATTTCAAACCATTAGATAGACTGGTAGAACAAGTCAGCGCTAACTAGTGTGATGGATTGATGTCGTCTTCTATACACCACCATTGGTATCGTAATCAGGCATGAGGCTGCATCCTCTGCACCTCTTCCGTAGATATCATGCAGTTTCGATCGTTAATGGCGTACCCTCACCCATTTCACACTGTTTCCGGCCTTCCATGTCACCATCGGGGCGTCGTCGGTAGATGGGTGTACGGGGGCAGGTAAGTCGTACACGATGATGGGGAGCGATGGAGATGGGGTAGACGACTCAAATAGAAGCGGAATATGCGCGAGGGCGCTGCGGGACGTCTTCCGAGAAGCCGCCCGTCGCCGCAGAGGAAAAGACAAGCCTGCAATCACAATCCAGGTGCCTACAATCAATCATTGGTATGAACGAACGGGTAACCTACGGTAGGTTTCGTATCGTGAACAGCACGACGCCGGACGTTGATTCTCTGTAGGTGTACAGATGTCCCATGTGTTTGTCGCCCTCTATACGATGCTCTCAAAGGATACGTTGTTTGAGTGATACCTGTCTAACGTCATGGACGCGAATGGGCTCGTCTACTCACCACATCGCGCCTCTACAAGTAGACTAGTAGCCTCACAATGGGTCGTCCAGGTATGAAAAACTTGTCAACACGCTCGTTGCCGTCGTGTACGTAACGACGCCATACCCTCTGCCGGCCGTGCCTCGTGTGTGCTTCCCACACCGCTACCGCCTACGTCTCCTATATCCTGGTTCGGCCTACTACTTGTGTGAGTTAGATGTCTTTCGTGGAAATCTACAACGAGCAGCTGTTCGACCTTTTGCTCCCGCCCGAGGCCTACTCATCGGCCAACCAGCAGCAGCGGCGGTTCAGTGTTCACGGCGGAAAAGAGAGTGCCGCAGGTGGAAAGAGAAACACACCCTTGTCTTCTGTCCAAAGGTTGGTGGGAAAACTTGACGTCGGGAGCGCTGGCGGCAGCAGCAGCGGCTTGCGCGCTCCTCTGACAACAACCCCGGGTGCCCGTCAGCAGATGGCGGACCTGGCAATCTATGAGCGACCTGACGGGTCCACATACGTCAAGGTTTGTTCCTACATGTACGGGGAGAAGAGCATCCGTGTCAACCGACGAATTTGATAATTGGCCTGACTCCTGGAACAGCCCCACGTACGCTCCTTGGTGCGAACAATCTTTTGAAAACGTGGCAGTACTCAACCCGTACAATGTAAGTCCACTATGTCGCATGGGCTGTATGGACCCACGCACCATGGCCATCGGGCAACCAAGCTCGTCGAAAAACCTCATCCATTTGTTTGTGCTTGGGCGTTTGGTGATTGGTGGCGGCGGTTGGATGGGTGCAGGGGCTTCGCGTACATACGGTTTTGACCGAAGACGAAGCGTTGAGGTTCTTGCGATGCGGCCAGGTGGCAAGAGAGGTCGCCGAGCATCAGTTCAACCGCGTTTCTTCCAGGCGAGAAAGAGTGCCACAGGAAAACAAGTAGACGCTGAAGAACTTGGACAACGAATAAGCACAGCAGGAAGGTAGACATGGTAGTGTTCTACTGCCAGAAGAGGACTTGTCGTCTGTGTATTCTAGCAGAAAAGCGCCTTGGTGTTCCTTCCAACTACATAGTCCGAAGAACGATCTGGTTCGCGCTTCAGGCACGAGAGCGGGCCAGGCTTTCACCGCGAGGAAAGGATAAGAACCCGCAGAACACATAGGGATCTCTGGTCGCAACGCACAAGAAGCAGGTACTACCTGCCGCGCCTCCCCGGGTTCATGTGCCGTCGGCCGTCGCTCCTGCTGCTTGCTGTGTGCTGAGCTCGAACATGCGTCGCGATCGGCCAAACCGGTAGGTCACACGCCGTCCTGACCGTCCACCTCGCCATGTCCGGCGGCGACGAGGGGAAGACCGCGGACGAGCAGAACGCCGGACGGGGGGTTGTAACAGGACCGGGACGGTGGAGAGGAGGAGGAGGAGGAGGTGTAGCGACGACCTCAAAGGTAAACCTGGTGGATTTGGCCGGGAGTGAAAAGAGCGCGACCGGGGCGACAGGCGCGGACGCGGTGCTTCACCGCGAGGGTCGCTTCATCAACAAATCCCTCACGTTTCTGGAGCAGGTGGGTGTGTCTGGTGCGGTCGAGCTCCAGTTGAGGCCATGTCGAGTGCTATATGCACTACTATATCCGGCACATGTCCCCAATCTTGCTGCCGTCTGGGGTGTTCCACAGCGATTGACCCCTTTGCCCCTCCATGTGCCGCCAAGGTGGTGATGACGTCCTTCCTTTCCCAGAAATTTACTTCTGGCTACGCCGTGTGGCTACGACGGTTGTAGCTCGAGTGCCGCCCCCCTCTTAGCCCGCAATTTAACCCCCTCGTGCTCTTGGGGGCATTTCGCACGTGTCCCGCTTGTTCTTGCACTTTTTTTGCCCCGTGTATCTTTTTGTGTTCCCACAGGTCACAATGGCGTTGGCGGACCAGACGAGGGAGCACGTGCCGTTCCGAAGCTCGAAGCTGACTCACTTCTTGAAGGTGCACGAGGCCGCCCGCCCACTAGCGTAAGCCTCTGCTCTCCTCGCGGACAGGCCAACTGTACGCTCTGCCCCTTCGTTGGGTTTCTCAGGCCTTCTTCGTGTCTATTGTGCGGGGGACAGTTCTCCTTGCGCCCTCTTTGTCAATGCGCCACCTGCTGCTGCTCCGTCGAGACCTTTTCGACACGATCCGGCAAGCGTCCCTCCGAAATTCCGGTCGATTCACCTCGCCAAGAAATAAATTCAGTCATAAGCGAGACCAAGATGCTCCCTGTGGAACTGTATCAACACGGGTTTGTTTCGTCGGGGGGGTTAAGTAGAATTGGTTTCCTGTTTGCTTCTTCTTCTGCACATCTTTCTCCTTCCGTCCCGTATGTATCTAGGGTTGCTGTTTTTGACCGCTGACGGAACGGGCGTGGGGTTACCCACGACTAATTTCTCCCAGGCCATCCCGCCTTCACTACACGATGGCTTTGCACGGGAGGGGGCCGAAGCGGAACCTGACCGTCAAACGTGCGCTTCTTAGAAAGACGGTCCTCTCGTGCATTCGTTTTTTACCTTCGACTGATGACCACCGGCGACCCTCGTGATCGTTGCCACCACGACTTGATAATATGTCTGTGTTGTTGGCAGGATTCACTAGGTGGAAACTGCCAGACCCTCATGGTCGCGTGTATTTGGCCGCGCCCGGACCTGTTGAAGCAAAGCCTCGCCACCTTGAAGTTTGCCGCTCGCATGCGCTGTGTGAAGAACTCCCCGATCGTGAACGAGCGGTCCTGGTCCGCCGACGACGAGATAGCGAGGTACGGTATGTTGCTGAGCTCGCCACATACACAAGCACAAAACCGTACGTTTGTTTTTTGTCTCCCATGCGGTGCACATCATCACACTCTACGGTGTGCACGCTTCACCCCATCACTCTGAGAACAGAATATGCGCGGATTGTACTTAATCTGCTCACACCGGCCCGCGAGGATCCCCACCCCACCATGCATGCTGCTGTGTGCCCGATGTTCATTGCCGAAGAAAAAAGGTGGACCAGTGGCGAAACAAGAACGACGTTCGTGTTATTCTTTCGGCCCGTTGCTACAGTTGATTTTGCGCATGACCTACCCATGAATCCTCTCATCTATGGGCCTCGTCGTACCGTGCCGACCACACGCACACGCACACAAACGCACGCGCAAGGCTGCGAAGTCAGGTGGATCTGCTCGAGACACAGCTGGCCGCGCAGCAAGCCGGCGGAGGCGGCGGTCGAGCAGGGTGCGAATCCCCAGCTGACGCCGGCGATGCCCCGCAACACGACCGTCGTCGTCGTCGTGTCTGGGAGGAAGCCGGCCGGTTCGTTCTGGAGGGAAGCAGCAACTACAACTGCGGCGGCCGCCAAGCGACCGCCGAGGCGACGGGGTGGCGGCGGCGGGGAAAAAGCAACAGCGGGTTGCAGGCAACGGCGGCATGTGGCAGTCGGGAGGAGGGCGACGGGCGCCTAAGCGACAGCCTGCCGCCGGCGCCGTCGGAGGAGGGAGATGAGGAGGAGGGGGAGGAAGAGGAAGAAGAGGAGATGGCGGAGGGTGAAGCTGGAGATGACGCCGGGCATCGCGGACGGAGCAACAACATGGCCGAAGCGAAGACAGTGAGCGCCGGCGAACAACAGGAAAGGAAAGGACGTGTCGCGAGCGGGAGAGGGCGCCGTGTTATTTCGTCCCCATTCTTGAGAGCGCACAGCAACGACGCTCGCCGCCAGCTGCGCTCCTTGCGCGCAGCCGGGTACGCGGGCGACTTTGTCCGAGCTCTCCGAGAGCTCGTCTGGGAGGCGGCGGCGGCGGCGGCGAGCACGGCGGCAGCGTCGACCTCCGCAGCGGCACACGATAGCAAATACGGCGGTAGGAGTGGCAATGAGTTGACCGCGCTAGCCGTCGATCCGGGGACTGTACCAATGCAACAGGGCGGAGGCAACTTGGCAATAGCCGCCGCCGTGAGATCCGCCGTCGATGCCGTGGTGGGGCGTAGCAGCAGCAGCATCGACAGCCCGGAATCATCGCGGGGAGGGTCGCGTCAGGAAGACGATCGGCGAGAAAGAACAAGGCGCCAAGAAGGAGATCGACTCCCTTTCATTGTCTCTCGGAGTGATCCGTCCACGGACACCTGGATCGTCGCAGCAGCGGGGGGAGCGAGCTGTAGTGAGGAGTTTGGGAGGGACGGCGATGGCAATGGGCCTGACGGCAGCCGAGCGAGCGAGCGGCTCACGGGAGGCACTAGTTTGTCGAGCAAGAGCGGTAGGGCCGGCGGTGGGTCAGCAGCACAAAAGGCGGACAACAAGGTGGGCGGTGCGTCGCGCCGCCGTTCCGTGCCCGATTATGGCGGGGACGCCGACGGGTCGAACTCCGAATCCACCGCTGTCGCCGAGGACGATTGGACGGGAGTGACAGACGCACACGGGACGGGGGGCGAGAGCGAAGAGACTCGTCGTCGTCGTCGTCGTCGTCGTCGTCACCATTTGGGCGGAGCGTTCGAGCTGTTCAAGATTGGCGAGGGGAAACAAAGCAATTCCCGTCTTCAGGTAATAGAGCAGGACCTGGTAGCACCGCGAACATCACCCCCGTTTAAAAATATTCTATTATGGCCGAAACACGAGGAAGTACCCTTCTTCTTTAAAGGAGCCGCTGCGTGCACGCAGGCCATCGCCTAAGGCGCTGGAAGCAAGCGTCTATCGACGCCGCAGGCACAGTGTATTGCCGACTACTTCGTGCTTTTTGCCCCCGGTGGTGATTGTTTGTCCGACCGTCGCCTGTGGTGTTCGTTATTCGTGGCTGTTGTCGTCGTCGTCGTCGTCGTCGTCGTCGTCGTCGTCGTCGTTGTTGTTGCCGATATCATCTGTCTCTGGTTCCTCTCCGCTTGCAGGACGCAAAAGCGGCTGTACAGCGCGTCCGCTTGCGGGCAAGCGATCTCACGGGCCGCGTTAACGACGCCAAGGGGAGGATTGATGTCGCAAGGGCCCAGCTGCAGCAGCACCAGCAGCGGAAAGGGAGCCAAGGAGACGGAGAAAAGTGCGAGGAGGAGAAGGAGCGGGAAGAGCACATCAGCAGTTCTACGCTCGCGCTGATGGCACAGCTCAAGAGTCGAAAAAGGGAGTACCGCGTCTTGTTCGAGAAGCTTGCAGGTGCTAGGGCTGAACTCCGAAAATTGCGACAGGATAAACAGAAGGTGATAGCCAAGCATCCATCAGTGGATGCATCCGTATATCGACCGGAAGAAATACCTTAACCGTGGCCGTCTGAAGCTGCGACTTCTGCCGTGTACAACATGCATCGATTCTTTTGTGCCTTCCACGGGAGAATGCGTAGCATCTTATTCGCCAATCGTTGTTTATATGTCGTACACTAGTCGTTTAACACGGCCTCAACCCTTCAAGTAGACGCGTATCGAAGGTTGTGTATGGAACATTCCACGTTTAGGTCGGTCTCGATCTTTTACGTAAAAGATCGATCGGCTCTCTCAGGTTCTCGGAAAGGGGTTCCCCGCTTGTAGGAGCCAGTGCGATATTTGCAGCCAGCCTCCCTTCCCTACCCCACATCCTCTGCTCTTGTCGACTGCGAGCACTTGCCTGCCGCCTCCTGACCATGCTACACCGCCACGCCCGTGGCCACAAGACATATGCGCGATGAGGGGGCGGGGGCGATCTCCGCAGTCCGTGTGTGTTATCATCGCGATCCAACGAACCGGAACGTCGCAACCAAAAGGCACAACACCCCGCTCACCCCATCCATGGACACACCAAAACAAACTAAACAATCTTTCTCCTTGACACGCTCCTTCCCTTGTGTATACAGGAACTGGCACAATTGGCGGCTGAGTTCGAGCTTCGGCAGGAAAAATCTCTCCGAAGCGGAAGCAGCAGCAGCAGCAGCAGCTATAGCAGCACTGACACCAGCGCCTTCTTCCTCCCTGCCCTCCGCCCCACAGCCGCCATATCCGTGGCTGGTGGTGGTTGCGCGGCGGCAGCAACGACGGCCGGTTGCGGTGAAGAAAATCGTGGCGATGGCAGTGGTGGTGGTGGTGGTAGAATGAGCGGTGACGGGGCTGGCGATGTTGGGGGCAGACATCTCGTTGCGTCGTCGTCAGTGGCGTCGCCGTCGGCGGCGAGGGTTAAGGCAGTCGTTCTCCAACAGTCGCGCGCGGCTTCCTTTTGAAACAAACGAGTAACCGATTTCCTTGCCCGAACTACATACAGTACTTCTACGGTCATTCTAAAGGCCGAACAACTGCGACAGAAAATAACCGCAAAAAGACGTTACGGTAGTTAGTCTTCTGACAAAAGGCAATTCTTGGAGTTTTCCGGAATAAACTAGTCTATTTCGAAAGCGTACAGATTCTGGTAAAAGCCAATCGACGGATACCCTGCGAATCCGGTCTCTCCACCCACATCATTTTCCCTAAACTGGGAACCTCTTCTTGTGGCGAGGACGGGTAATTCGATGGAAGAAGTGTCACAAGTTCTTTGTGGGATCGACTGCAATAGAGATGTGCTCTCAGGATTGACACATAGACATGATGTGTCTATGGGAAAATGTCCAAGTCAGGAGAAAATGTGCACACAACCAAGGACATTCAAACCAGCATCCCGTCGCTGACGCCATATGCGAAGGCGTACCGATTCTGGCGAAAGTCAATGGACGGATACCCTGCGAATCGGATCCTCCTTAACATTATGTGGGAGTTATCTATTTTTTGTATTTTTTAGGGCGCCGTAGCGTCAAAGGTAGTTGTTGACGCGCTGATTTCCCAACAACGTGCTTCAACGACACCTACCTGAACCTGGTCTCCGTTCGTTCCAATTGAATCTCTTGGCCAATGTCATCGGTACACGATGCCTACCGTCCGAATACACACTTGTGGATTCAAAGCTGATGTATATCTCGGAAAGCAGAAATGACAGATGGGTGTCAAGGGGGAAGACTGGTCGGCTAATGAGGGACGTAGAAAAATATACTACACTGCACTTAATAGCTCTGCGTGATATCCCTCCTCGGCTATACTTTTGAAGGCGGGGGGATAGGAGTGTATGTATGTATGTGACCCTTGAACCAATCTGTTGGCCAAGTGTTTAAGAAGGAGGTGGACGCATGGGCCCAAAAAGAAGAAGAGATATCGAAGGCAAACGTTGGGAAGGTAGAACTAGAAAAGGAGTTTACTGAGGACGAGGTTGAGGGGTGTGTGAACAAGCTGAAGTGCCACAAAGCAGAAGGAGCGGATGGGATAGTCAACGAGTTCATGAAGTTTGGGGGGAAGGGGATGATCCAGCTGATGGTACTGCTGTACAATTGGGTGTGGAAAAACGAGTATACGCCAAGTAGATGGAGGGAAGGAGTGGTTGTGAACTTGTTCAAGAAAGGAGACAAGACTGACCCAGGAAACTACAGGGGGATCACACTGTTGAACACGGTAGGAAAAGTGTTCTGTAAGCTGCTGAACGATAGGATAGTGGGAGTATTGGAGAAGGAACATAGCATAAGTGAGGGCCAGGCAGGTT